GTACCGCCACCCGAGGCGATTAGGTTTATTACCTAACAGAAAGAAGTAGAGATGTTCGATTGATCAGCCGTCAATTACGTTCAATTCATCAAGGATTGAACACTATCAGATATCGGTGGTGTTTCCTTGAAGGTTACTCATTTTTTTCTTTATTCTTATTTGACTGGTCTAACCATTACTGACAATGGCCAACGAAAAGTCGAAGCGTAAGTAACCCTATTTCATTTTCGCTTCATGACCGGAAATACCTGTGCTTGAAAGCCCTGAACCTTTTAGCTTGCGACATTTCGAAGGTACCCGAGCAACCTACTAACCAGTCCTTTCTTGAACACCGAATGGATGTCGCCTCGAACACTAATCATACTGTTGAGGCCGGTACGCTCCTTGCTGATCCTCAAACAGACGAAAAAGGACCATTCGCAGAATCGTTGGAATTGACCCAGAAGGAAGCACGCGCATCAATAAACAGTGAACTATTGCCAGATCAGAAAAAACTAGACGCTAACACTTCCAGCCAAAATTGGGGCGGACTCCGTCCTAAAACTCCTTGCCCGAGAGCTACTCGTCCGAGTAGGCAAGATGTACTGAAAGCGGGCTACTCTAAGCAAACCTTCGCAGAGAGAGGTCGCAGAAATGAAAAAGTGGGAATGGGCGGTAGAGAGAATAAGAGCGATGGCACGGAAGCTCGAAAACAGCAGGAAATCCCTGCAACCCTTCGGATGTCAGAAAGCGAGAAAGCTAGTGAATACAGTGGTATCACTGGTTCTGGGCAAAATGCTACACCCGGATATCCCGGAAATGAGGAGCGGGTAAGGAAGGGATTCTGTCGCGCCTGTGCAGCTACTGAAACACCGGCACCACCACTGGAAAGAACGTTGAGTAAAACAAGAGATAGGCAAGCTAACAATTCTGTCTTTCGTGTCGGACTGGATGGACAAACTAAAACTGCGACTTCACAAGGAACTGAGTCGAAAAACCTCGGTATGGGACAGACGGAGCTTACATGCCACCAAGCTCTGTCGGCACAGAAGCTGACATCGAAAGCTAGTGGAACTAAAGAAGAGCAGCAAAGCAAGCATGCTACACCAGTATCATCTACTCCTCAGAGTTTCAATGAAAGCAGGAAAAAGCTGCCAGTAGAGGGATGCAACCGTGAACAGAATCAACCACGAGGACTGCTCATAGCTAGGCTTCCTCCAAAAGTAACAGAAGTAAAGATTGAAGGCATAGCCGTTGACCAAAACTCCCTACAGAGTTTAGAAACGCTCAGCGCTCGCCAAGAGCCGGCGGTATCAACAGCAAGAAGCTACAACTCGAGTCAAGAAAATATTCTCGTCCCCAATCAGAAAGGCAATGTGTTGGAAGCGAAGTCTTGTTCTTTACAGAAAACAACGATGCACCCTGTACAGCCCACCACAGGTCCTGCACTGAAGGGAGGGGAAGAAAAGCGAAAGCAAGAATGGCGCGAAATGAGCAGCGCGGAAGAGCATACAGCAAGCTCACCAGAGCTCAGAAGCCCTCATGTAGAGCAGCAGAATCACCAGGAATTCACCACAGCACGGGCGAATACTCCTGATGTGAAACCAACAGCCCTACAAGGGTTGCATGAAGACAGGGACGTGGCCACAGCAAAGGGGTTAAGTCCACATTCAACATCTGCTAGTCTCTCCCAAGTATGCGACGTACAGGACATTACCACAGCAGTTGCTAAGAGTCCGGATCCAAAGCCTATGGAATTTTCTTTCGCCAGCATATTTCCTTCCTTATTTGGTGGCAGTGCACCAGCTAACGAAAGCAGCTCTACGCCCAATACAGCTGCTCCTCTAACTCTGCCAACACTTGCTCAGGGGCCTCCTCAGTTCAAGCCACCCGAGCAACCTGCAAAACCTCAGGATTCGAGACGTGATGTTATTCAATTTCGATCGGAATACGCTAATAAATTCGCTCTTGGTAGCGAACATACCGTGGATTTCTTCAGCGGTTCTTATGACGATGTGAGTCGTTTAATGATCATTTAGTTGATCTCTCCACCCATACTTAACTTAGTCAGGCTCAACGAGAAGCAAGAAATGCAGTAAAACTGATTGTTGTTTTCATGCACGATCCTTCTTCGGAGGTGAGTATAGGCAGTCTTTTGCTGCCTTGGAGTCATTTTGTTTACTTGTAGTATTGACCGTTGAAATCTTTTATTCACTTTATTTTGCACATGAAATGGAATTTAAATTGAACAACGTTAAACATAAGTCAAACAGCTTGCACTGGAAAAAGTCGGAGAAGGAGGCGGTCGGTCCCTTCCCTTT